CACGTGACCAGCTCGACGGCACGCTGCGCATCAGCGCCACCGCCGGCTTCGGCCGACACGTGCTCGCGCCGCTGCTGGCACGCTTCCAGGCGCAACACCCGGCCGTCCGCTACGAGCTCTTCTTCACCGACCGCCGCGTCGACCTGCTGCGCGAGGGCGTCGACGTCGCCTTCCGCGTCACCAGCAAGCCGCCCGAGGCCTGGGTAGCCCAGCCGGTGCTGAAGTTCGACGTCCGCGCCTACGGTCTGGACGCACACCCGACGCTGCCCAGCCCCCATGACATGGCCACGGCGCCCGTGCTGTTGCTGGGGCAGAGCGAAGAGCCCGTCGCCAGCCAATGGCAGCACGACGACGGCCGCCGCGAGGAAGTCTCGGTGCAAGCCTCCGCCTGGGGCAGCGACCTGGACGGCCTGATCGCCCTCGCCCGCCACGGCGCCGGCCTCGTCATCGCGCCGGACTTCTGTGTCGAGCCGCTGCCGTCTCTGCAGGCCCTGTCGACGTCACCCGACGCTGCGCCGGCACCTTCGCTTCGCAACGTGCTGCCTGGCTGGCGGCTGCTGGTCGGCTTCGACACCGTGCAAGCCCTCACGCTGCCACTGCCCGCCGGCTCGGAGACCGCACGGGCGCTGGTCCGGTTCGTGCGCGACACGCTGCGGGTGGAACGCTAGGCTGGCCGCATCAACGCTGCCACCATCCGCGGCCCCGACGATGCCCACGACGCCCCGCTGCCTCTTCCTGTCCCTCACACCGCCGACTGTGCGGGAGCAACTGCTCGCGCAGGCCCGCCAACTGGGCGTCGTGGATCTGCTCGGCAGCACTCTGTTCGCGCCGGTGAACTGGCATCAGTCGCTGTCTGATCGCTTCGAGGACGACCCGCAGGTCATCGAGCGACTGCTGAGCATCGGCCCCGGGATCACGGCCCACGCCGTCAGGCTCAGGTTCGATCGCATCGAAAGCACGGCCGGTCCGGACGGCAACCACTGGGCCTTCAAGCCCGACCAGACGCCACCGGACTTCGATCCCCTGCTGCAAAGCGTCCGCACAGCGATCGCCACCGTGGACAACCGCAAACAGGCCAAGCCCACCGCGCATGTCACGCTGAGCTACTGGGCATCCGAGTCGCTGCGCAGGATGAAGGCCATCGAACCTGTCGACTGGCTCATCGACGAAGTGCAACTCGTGCGGGGCCATGGAGATCCGTATCACTACGACGTGCTGGGCAGCTGGCCGCTCCTGCCACCGCGCGCCGTACTGGCTGGCGAGCAGCGTGTGCTTTTCTGATTCACACTGAACGCATGGCCACGAACTCGCCGCCTTACTCTGCTCACTAAGGCGCCAGGGATCGCCTGGCTATCTGGAACATGCGCACTGGTTGCCAGCGCCAGGCCGACTCCTGGTACGAACTCAAACTGCACGACGAAGCCCGTCGCTCGCTTGCCGGGGGAAGCGACCGCTTCGGCCCGTCATGGCTGGCACGCCGGGATCGCACAGAGAGCGTCAAGCTCAGCGCGTACGGTCAGCCTGATCCAGAAGGGCAGACCGCGCGATGACATCCGCAACTTTGCAGCGAGTGAGTTGGACAAGGCAGCTCTGGTGCATCACGCAGCGCCACCAGCCTAAAGGCCATGAACGCTCCGAGGCACGCACGGACAAGCGAGCTAGTTCTCAAGGCCTGAACGATTCGATGTTCGCTAGCGCTTGGCCCGCATCCAAAAGCCCGCACCGATGCGCCCGAAAAGGCCCAGCAGATTTCTAACTCCCAAACCACGCACAAGAACACTTACTCCGACCCTTGTTGCGTTCCAGAGGCGGTCAGCTTCGTCCATACCGACAAATCGACCGGAAGTAGGTAGCCTCAGGTGCGCAGAGCAATAAGCCAAGCCGCACGCTCTACCGGCGAAACCCTTTGCCGCCTCAAAGACCGGCAACTGCACCTGCGCTGAACGCAACCTCTTTGGAGAGGCGGCCGCCACTCAGCTACGTTGGATGCGAGCAAACTCTGAGCGGCGCCTTCGAATCGAAGCTGCTACCAAAACTCCTGCACCACAAAGCATTTCGCCTAGGTTGGACACTCATGCGCCAGGCTGCCCCAACTCAAGATAATGTCCTGGTATTTATACGCTCAGCGGAGGTCACCAAACCGCAGTTCTTTCTCAAGCACCGCAATTTATGTTGACCGCTTAGCCAATACCAATTGGCCCTGCTGAGGTTTGCAGATACTCAGCTCAATCGATTTCCGGCTCGCCAAAAGCAAAACCCCACCATCTTTGGGATGGTGGGGTTGGCTTTAATAACTAGCCTGACGATGACCTACTTTCACACGGGAATCCGCACTATCATCGGCGCTGACTCGTTTCACTGTCC